CCCTCTAGAACACACTCTGAAGAGGGCCTTGCTAAGGTGCTGGCTCTCATCATAAAGACGATGGCGCAGCTGTTGGGAAAATTCCTAGAGCGGTATTTTAGGGTAACTTAGGAAGCAGTCCCCCGGGGGAGAGTGGCCCAAAGTACCAGACTCCCAGAAACAACCCAGATGGGTGTGGTTCACTATCCTTGAGTACTGCAGAGGCCCTCAGGAGGTCACACTGGCTCTGGCACTTAAGGGGTGAGTTGATCAATCACAACTCTGACATAGTGGCTGAATCTGTAAAATGGGACCAGCACCACCTCCTTCACCGGGTTGTTGTGAGGAATAAATGGGCTACTCTGTCCAGTCATGGAGAGGAGTAGCAGCAGCTCAGTCCATGCTGAATTCCAGAGGTTTTCTGGCTGTGACAGGCAGCGGCTCGGCAAAGGCCTAAACAATAATGGAACAGCAACCAGGAGTGTCTCCTGGTCAGCCCCTGGCTCCTTCCAGACCAAAGGCTGGCCCTGTAGGTGAACATGCCTCCCAGGCTGTGTCAGTGGAGTGCAGCTCTAAGATTGAGCCTCTCATCCTAGCTCACAGGAGGCAAGGTTCTCTCTCCGCTCTACATACACAGACAAGCACTCATACCTCCCTCCGACACCTAGCACTCAGGACAACAAGGAATGAGAATTTTGGCATTCTATTTCAGGAAGCTGTCTGGGTCTGGGTCTGGGTCTGTGACAATGGGGTCTCATCCTTTCCTTCACATCGTTCCTTCCATCCCCTCTATCTCTTCCCATCCAATGGTAGGAGACTTGTCCCCACTCCTCGTTTCCGTAAGGAGAGATTTCCCGCTCCATTCTCCAGAGGGGAAGTGTGAGAGGACCACTCCTGCTTCTCTTCTACCTCCAGTACTTGCTCCTTCCCAGTGGAGAGGGCATGGCTTGTCTGATGGGTGGGTAGGGGAGGAGCTGAGCTCAAATCATTCTGGGTTTCTCTCTTTTATTTCTCAGTTCCTTCTGAACTTGGGCAGGGAAGAGAGCGATCTTATCTACTGACCTCTTAAGCCCACAACATTATTGATCCAGCAGCTACCTTTCCTCTTCATCCCATCCCGTTCCCTCCCCTCTTTCTCTGAGCATCCAATCCACCCTGCATGTATTTAATACCTACTGGAGGCCAGTATTTTGGTTCTGAAGGTGAGTAAGACTTGGTCTCTGCCCTGGAGGAACTTGGTTTAGTGGGAAAGGCAGACTCATAAATAATTATAAGCCACAGATTCAGCCAAGGTATAAACCAAGTGCTTGGGGTTTAGAGCTCATGACCCATTCTGGAACCTTAGAGGAACCATGTCCTTACCCCCACCTCCAACTAGGGTACAGCC